GAATCCTCGATATTAGCTGCTGCTAATAAATACCGATCTGGTTTTTTTTTAATACAGCACCTTCCATTTCATCTCTGCAGCACAAGGGGGACATGGCGCCTTTCTCATTTCTTTTTTTATTTAGCTCCTAAAAATCGCTGAAAATCAACCAGGAATGACCTAGGTCAGCGTTAAATCTGGGCTTTTAGGAGCTGGTGTTGGTCCCTCGGAAATACAGGTGATAACACAGGTGATTGACCTGGCTGCGAGCAGCCACTACTGCTGATGACTTCTAACTCAGCCTCTGAGAATGACTCAGTTTATGATTTATTCTATTTGTTTGCTTCATATCTGAAACGTTACTCACAGAAGCCAGGAGGGTTGTGGGGTTGGGTTCTGGCCTGCTGTGTCACCTCCTGTCACCTCCCTGGGGCCACCTGGCTGGGAGGGGTGTCCAGGGCTGGGTCACTGAGGGGTTCCTGCATGGGCAGGAGGTGAAGAACAAGTTGGGAAGATTCATTACTATAATCTTTAGAGGTGGGATGGAGCCAGGAATCCGCAGCCATTTGTTGTTCACCGGCAGGAGATGCTCCAGGTACCACCAGAGCAAACCCTCTCTCCAGGCAGCACCTTCCCCTTCCCACGTGTCACTTAAAGGCTCCAGGAAACCTTTTGTCACCCCATCACCCCTGTAACCACCAGGAGTCAGAGTTCAACAGCACTTTCAGGACCACAGCAAATTCCAGGATTCCAGGATCCTAAGGGATGGAGGGCTGCTTCCCCTGCAAACCCCACACAGCCAGTGCCACATCCCAAAGCTCCCCAGGCTGCAGCCGGTTCCCCCTCAGGTCTCATGGCTCTTACTCACCTCTGGTGATCTGTCACTGTCCCTCAGCTGAAGATCCCCAAGAGGACAACCCCTGGCATTATTTGTCATCCTGAGAGCACCACGGTATTGCTGAGCACCCCAGGAATAAAGGAGAACAGAGATGGAAGGGTTTTTCCTTAAATACAGGCATTTACTCATGTGTGTGTCTTGTGGTGTGACACTGTAGGGACCAGCCATCCCAAAGGTCAGAGCAACATCCCCCAAATATTTCCAGCAGTACAGGTTACACAGGGCTTGGAGCAGCTTGGTCTAGTGGGAGGTGTCCCTGCCCACAGCACGGGGTGGAACTGGATAATCCTCAAGGTCCCTCCCAACCCAAACCATTCCAGGATTCCATGATTCTGTTTGATCTGACTGATTAACAGCCGAGCCCCATCCTTGGCCTTCTCCTCCTTCTGGCTCAGCTCTCTTTGGGAAGAGCAGAAGGAAAAGCAGGTGGAGGTCCTGATCCTTATTCCAATCTGAGCTGCAATGCAGGGAAGAAATATCCCAATATGTCCTTTAACATAGAATCAATCATTGTCCTTGCTCAGATTATCCTCCTGGAACACCTGGCATGACTTAGGCAGCACTCCTCAGTGAATAAGGAAATAAAAGGAAAAATAAATAAGTCAATGTTTTAGCAGCAAAATCAAGAATTCATGAAAATAAATGACTTTTCTCCAGACTTTGTTGTCTGCACAAGCATGACCAGCAACAAATGATCACGTTCACACCAGTGTTGCTCCCTTAAAACCCAAATTAAAGTCTAGCATAACGGAGAGGAGCCTTTTCAGAGCCAACTCTTTGCCTGGATCCCACCACGTTCCACGGGGCAGGATGGTTTTCTTCCCTGCACAAGCCATTCTCGAAGCCATCCCCCCCACGTCAGCCCACAGCAGCAGGGAGGGAAAGGCTCCTGCCGTGGCTGGGGAGGATTTGGCTCTGGGGAGTCTCATTCCCAGAGAGATGGGTAAACAAAAAGCCACAAGACATGGGGGATAAGAGGCTAATGACAGCAATGTGGAGGAGGTAGATCTGTCACATTAGCAGGGAGGGCTGGGGGGGCAGAGGGCAGTGCCAGCAGCCTGTCACAACCTGCAGAGGACATGGAACCGCCTCAGGAGGTGTCTGCAGGGCTGGAAAGCCACAACTGTCACAAACAGATGCTCTCGGTTTTGGGGACACTGCCCGGCATTATCCGGGTCCCTGCCAGAGCTGGAGGTGTTTGGGGGGGGAAGAAAAGGGACAGAAGGCTCAAGAAAAGCTTTCTTGCACCAGTTTCTCTGGCAGAATGTGGCACTGACTGGTACTGGAAGCCACTGGAGGGTGATAACTGGGTCCAAGTTTTCCCATTTTTTTACCTCAGGGAGTGCTTGTGCTGGCCCGGGTTGGGGGAAGGGGCTCCGTGTTCCCCTGGCACCTTCCCCGTGGCTTTTCCACCCAAACAGGGTTACAGGGAGGAATCACAGCCAGCCAACAGATCCCCCTGGGGCCAAGCACAGGGGTTATTCCCACTGGACCCATCCTCTGGCTCCTGGTCCCTGGGGGTCGTTCCAGCTCAGCAGATCTCACATCCCTGCTAATTCCAGGTGTGGGCCCGGATTCCAACACCTCCCTCCCTCAGAGCATTGTCACCGAGCTGTCACCTCCTTCCTGCCTGACCCTTTGCACCCTCCAGCTAATTACTGCGCCTTCCCCTTTCCCGCGGGACACAAACGGAGCGGGGATCCCAGGGGTTGAGTGACCCCTCCAGTCCTTCCCCGGCTCTTCCCTGTCGGGCTTGGAGTCAAGGAGGGAGGGGAGGAGTGGATTCTGCATATTCAGCACTTGACCCTGCTTTTTTTCCAGGCAGAAAGTCCGCTGGGAGCTCTCTAGGAGGGGATCATGACAGCTCCCCCGGGCATTCCTTGCTATTGTGGCTCCTCTCCTCCACCCCAGGCTGTGTGTGTTTGTAGTTACCAAATGCAAATCACATTTCCCACCCTCCTGGCTGGAGCTCTCACTCCGCACGATCCTTCCCCTGTTTATTCCTCTCACCAGCTCGTTTTGCAATGCTCCGTGGAGTTCGCAGCCCCTCCCGGTGTCACCTCCTCTGATCTGGGGTGCGCTGGGACGTGGATGGAGGGAAAGTACTTAAACAATCCTCCTAATTAAGTACCTACATCCCTCCGGACACAGAAACTGCAGCTGTTTTCGCAGCCCGGCAGCTGAAACTCCCTTTTCCGAGGAATGCAGAGGCCTGACCCTAATTGCATTTTAAAAGAAAAACTCGAGATAACTTTTGGCCTTGGGCAGATGCGGCTTTCCTGGCGCTCCGAGAAGGGAGAGGGCAGCAGGCAGAGCCAGTAATGGCTCATTAACAACTGATAACGATGGTTAAACTCACTCCTTGAACTGCGAGAGCTCAGGCTCAGCCTCCAGCTCCCAAGATCATCCCAAGCCACCTCTGCCTCTCCTTCACTGCTCACACAGAAACCTGGAGCACATTAAGGGGAGGGGATGATTTACAAGAAAAGCTCATGAATTGATTCCGTGACCCAGCAGAGGCTGTTAAAAATGATTGAATGAATATGGAAATGAGTAATCGTCCAGCTGGACTCGGGCTGAGCACGGCCAACTCCATTCAGTGGGAACCACAAATAAAGCAGGAGCACGCCAGGTCCTGGTGAGAGCTGCAGGAATCACCCGAGGATTCCCAGCCCCTTCACCTGTGGGGTCTCCACAGCACCTGTGTGTTTGGACTCATCCTTTCTCTCCAAGGGCTGCACGGACAGGAATCTCTTATCCCGTCCGAGGGCTTGGCCAGATTCCTCACTGAGGAAATGGGGCCACCAGAGCCCCCAGCCCAGGCTCCCAGCTCCTCCTGTTCACACACACACTTGGCTAGTCCAGCTCACATTCCCACAGATCAGAAAACAATCCTGGACTGCCTCGGTTTCCAGCCACCAGCCCTGACTCCCAGGAAGGCGGATTCTTTGCTGGCTGGTTGGAGACCTGAGGGAGCAGGTGATAAAACCTTCCATGTGTGCACAGGTATCTGTAATTACAGGCAAATCTGGGGCAGTGAACAGCAGAAAGAGTTAAAAGTGAGCTGGTCCTCACATATGTGTGATGAAAAGTAGGGACACAGGACTGTGTGGGCACAGGGCTTTGTGCTCTCCTTACATCCTTCCTTTCTCTGGGCCAGCAGAGAGGGAGATGGAGGAAGAAGGTTGTCCTACAAAACAAGCCATAGAGAGTTAGGATGTAACACATTTATTTACAAAACACACACCAGAACCCCACTTACAGGAAGGACAGAGACTAAAGGTTCACTCATGCTTCCCCAGGGCCCCAGAGTCGTGTCCCCTCTCCAGGCCAGACTTCCAGCACGCCTGGTCCTGAGGGAGTGGAAAGAGTGGGCTAAAGACCTCAGGGGTACAAGAGAAGGGGCGGGAAGGACAACCCACGAGGATTACTTGCACTGAGTGGGCTTCCACCCCCAAGAGGAGCCCAGAGAGCAGAAGCTCCAGTGATGTCCTGGTGGGGCTGGTCACCCACAGCTGGCAGGAGCAGTTTTGCCAGGCTGCCCACTTAATACACACCTGGCAGGTGCAGCTTTGCCCTGTTCTGGCAGCCTCCAGGACCTCTCCTGTCCCTGCTCTGTCTGCCATCAATGAGAGCAGCGGCCATGTCCATGCAGGTCTGGGGGAGGATTGATGAGTCCTGGCTCCTGGAGCACTGACTGGTTCTGTCTGTGTCCAAGCCTGGGCTTTATTCCCATGCTGCAAATGGCCCTGGACCAGTGTTTGCTCCAGAGGAGGAACATCCAGTGGTGGTGGGTGAGCCCATGGCAGAATTGTCCCCAGAGGAGCTGCCCATGATGCAGCTTTGTGTCCCTGCAGCCTTCTCCCAAGGGATAACTGCCCCCTTCCCATCCATCACTCCTGGCTGTCAGAACCCCCTGCACAGGGACAATGGCAGCCCAGGGTCCCCATTCACACCGGAGAAAGGGGCTGTTCCTGTGGAGTGATCAATGGCTGCTCCCAGCTGGAGGCAGGGCTGATCACTGCCCGGCTGCAGGAGGCCAGCCCTTCGTCCTGCCCTCAGCGGCGGGTTGGAAGGGACTGGAGGCTTCCTGGAATCTCTCAGGGTGATGGGAGAGGGCCAGGCTTCCTGCACAGCCCCCTCCCTGCTGGGAGCATCCCCTGGGATGGGTGTCGGGTCCCCAGCAGTTCCTGGAGGGCACCAGGACTGTTATTTGCAGACGTGCCTCTCCACCCTGCGCCGGCACCTCCTGCAGACGACGGAGCAGCACCAGCGGTAGCGGCAGTGGCACCGCTCCTCCACCTCCTCCGTGTACGTGTTGTACCCGCGGCCACAGCACAGCAGGGCACAGCTGGCACTGCCCACAGAGCTCTTGTTGCACTGCCTGTGGAGAGGAGGGTGCTGAGCTGGGGGACCTGCCCACCCTGGCCTTTCCCACAGCTGCTTTGCCAGAGCAGGAGGCAGCGGGATCGTAGAGCCATGGAAGGCTTTGGGTTGGCAGGGACCTTAAAGCCCATCCAGTGCCACCCCCTGCCATGGGCAGGGACACCTTCCACCAGCCCAGGTTGCTCCAAGCCCCGTCCAACCCAGCCTTGGACACTTCCAGGGATCCAGGGGCAGCCACAGCTTCTCTGGGCATCCTGTGCTCAGCCCACCCACACCACTTCCCAGGACCTGCTCTCAAACCCAGCAGTACAGACAGTCATGAAATTAGAGTCTGAGTTTGAGCTTGTTACCTGTCCTGCGTCCCCAGAGAACCCAGCTGGAGATTTGGGGTGCAGTAGTCAGGAGAGTTGATGAGATAAACCAGGTCTGTCTCTGTCACTGGCCTGGCATCCGTATCCTTGGGCATCAGCTGCTTCCTGGGCCCCACGAGCCGGTGGGACACCTTGATGGCTGCCAGGTACTTGGACTTGAGGTCAGAGGCAATTTCATCCAGGCTTGACAGTCCCTTCCAGCAGGTCTTCACTGAACAGGAGCCTGAAACACCATGGCATTTACACTTGGTGTCCAGGGAGTCACTCAGCACCTGCAGGGACAGGAAAACAGGGGAGTTTGCTTTCTCCTGGTACCCACCCCATGCATTGACTTGCAAGAGCATCCATGGCAAGAGCTCTGATCCTTATTGCCACGTTTAAATTAATATAATGGGGCAGTCAGGGACTCAGCCCTCCTTCAATCCCTTCTGATAAGAACCTGATCCTTAGGGAACTACCTGTGGGAGCTGGCACTGGGGGCTTCCCAGCCTCAGCTGGGGAACAGGAGTGCATGAAAGCACAAAGCCCAAGTGGGCTGGGGAGCCTCTGCTTCCAGTGAGGAGGGTGGGAAGAAGCACTGGGAGTACTGATGTGAGGTGGCAGATATCTTGTGCTGGTTGTGGAAGGGGTGCAGGGTGTCTGGGGGGGGGGCCAGCAGCGGGAGGGGGGCATCTGCAAACACACTTCTTAACCGTTTAGTTGCCTCCTGATGTTCAGACAACATCCCAACAGCCTGGCCGGAGTCTGACACCTTAAACTGGGCACCTCTGCCCTGCTCTGGGCTGCTCCGAGGTGTGCTGAGGCATCCACTCCCACCAGCCTGGGCTCCAGCATTCCTGGGGGGCTCCATACCCACTATCTGACCCACTGTGCAATCCTGGTGGGCTCTGTACCCACTATCTGACCCACTGTGCAATCCTGGGGGGCTCTGTACCCACCATCCTGGACCCAGCACCCCAGTGATCCCACATCCACCATCCCAGTGGTCCCACACCCCCCCGTCCCAGCCATCCCACACCCCCCGTCCCAGCCATCCCACACCCACCGTCCTGCCCACGGCGCTGTTGTGCAGGTTCATGGCTTTGCTCCCGTGTGTCCCCGACCTGCCGGCTCTGGAGGAGCTGTCGGCGAAGGCGGCCCCGAGCTGGAGGCCGTAGCTGAGGTTGTCCCCGCAGCCCCCCCACCTGCCCCCCGGGCCGGGGTCCCCGGGGGGGCCGGGGCCGCAGGAGCAGAGCGGGAGCTCCCCCGAGGCGCAGGCCCGGGCGATGCCGTGGGCGATGGTGGCAGCAGCCAGGGCGTACACAAAGGCGGCTTCCCGGGTCCCTGGGAAGAAGAGGGGGGAGATGTCCTTCCTCCCTGCCCGGCCAGACACTCCTCCCAAAGACCTCACAGGGCAAGTAAATGGTTATCCTAAAAATCTTGCAGCAGGACGAGCCCAAGGCTCGTTTTCCTCGCAGCACGATTTTAACCTGTGCCCCCCACGCTGTATTACGCTGTCCAGACACAGCCCGTCTTCCCACCATCTCCCCCTTTTCTATGGAGCTGTTTGAAATGGAAGTGACTGTCTGTCACCTCCCACAGAAGGAATTGCACAGGATTAACACCCCGTAGAGGCAGCAAATTTACTCCGGGCTGGAAATCCAAGGCAGAGCCGAGCCCGAGGGGCAGCAGCCAAGTGCTGCCATCCCGGGATGCTCCGTGGGGCAGCGCGGGGAGCACGGACACGGCGGCAGGAGCATCCTTTACCTTTCAGCAGGTCAGGGCCAAACCTGGGGGCTCGCTGGATGGAGGAGCAGTTCCATCTCATGTCTGCAAAGCTCTGCTGGCACAGGGCCTGCGTTGTGCGGGCGGCCCGGACGATGCTGGGCATCACCTCCAGGTTGCGGCGGCACAGCTGGAGCTGCTCCGGCACCAGCAGCCGGCAGTGCTGGCTCTCGTTCCAGGACACCCCGCTGCCCGTCAGCCCGCTGCGGGGACACGAGGGGGGTCAGTGGGGTGGGGGAAACACGGGAACCCAGGGGGAGCCCAAAAAGGGGGGCATTGGGAAGAGGGGATCCCGACTCACAGCCACTGGATGGCCGTGGACAGACCCAGCTGGCACAGCAACACGGTGGCACCGGGGTGGCCCATGGCCAGGAATGGGACCGGGCTGGGGATGGGGACCGGGAGAGGGGCTGGGGCTGCTCGGCACCCCCGCCCTCTTTTATAGCAGCCGGAGGCAGGTCCTGCCCCCGCCCGACAGGGGAACAAAGGCAGTTTCGGTGCCATTCACAGCAGGACAGGGACGAGGAGGGGGGTGGAGGGGGGTCCAGCTGTTGTTGGCAGCGATCATCCCCGAACCAGCACCTGGGAGAGGGTTAAGGGATGAGAGGCTGCAGGATGTTCCCCCAGCACTGCCAAGGCCACCGCTGACCCACGTCCCCAAGAGCCTCATCCACAGGGCTTTGAAATCCCTCCAGGGATGTTACTCCACCGCTGCCCTGGGCAGCCCGCGCAATCCTTCCCATGGGAAACTTTTCCCCAAATCCAACAAAACCTCTCCTGGCACAACTCGAGGCTGTTCCTCCTGTCCTGTCACTGGGAGAAGAGCCCGACCCCCATGAGGCTCCAACCTCCTTTCAGGTAGGCAAAGGCTCATGATTTTTTTTTTTCCCCATTATTCTCTTTACAAAAAGCTTAAAATCACATTCAGATGTTCAGATTAGGGCTGGCAGAAGTGATGGAGCCAGGAAACGGCGCCTGCCTGGGCAGGAGCTGCTCCAGGGTGACATCCCCATGGGTGGCATGTGCTTGTCACAAGGTGGATTTCTCTGAATCTCTCCCTTCCCTAAGTACAGAACTAAAACTGCTGCCTGGTGCTGTGAAGACCTAGAGGAACCAGGTAGGCTGTTTTTTTCTCCACTGTGGGAAGTGACTTTGAGACACCAGCCCAGCTGACACCAGGTTTTGGAAACAATCAAGAGTTGAAGGCCATTCTTCAGGCTTTCACTTTCTCCCTGGCTGGGCAACTTCCCCTCTCACTGGAAGGTGCTTTTCTTGGAAGGACCTGCTGCCCACACAGATCCTGAGCTCTGGCACAGCCAGTGCAGCCCTTAGGGCTGGGACCCACCAGCACTGTGGGGCAGGGGACAATTTTCTCGGTTTTCTGTAAATTTTTGGATTTTCAGGCCAACTCAGCTGCTCCCTCAGCCCAAAGTCCCCTCCACCATCCCTGCTGCAGTGGTACCTGAGGGCTGGTGCTGCTGTGTAGGGTCACTGTCTGGCTCCAATCCCAGGTGGCACAGATGAACCTGATCCGCTTCTCCAAGGGCTCTGCAATGAGAAACCACCCCTGTGAGCTCCCTGACAGGGTGAGTTTTGCTCACACCCATCACAGGACCTCGAGGAGGAGGTAGAGAAGCCCCAGGAAGCTGCACCCACTGTGGGACCAAGTGCTGTGTGGGGTGGGGTGCCAGGACCCTCCTGTGTGATCAGAGCGTGGTGCTGCCTGACCCCTCAGGGTGAGCTTGGGTTCTTCCCCAAGGAATTATTCCTTGTCTTTGATGAGAGACCAAGGTCAGATTGGCCTCCCACAGCTTTCACCTTTCTTGGGGCAGTTCTCCTGCCCGTCCTCAGGTGCTCTGGAAGTCCCTGGAACTCCTGTCACACCTCACCTTCCCAATCACGGCTTTTGCAGCTCCTTCTCTTCCCTTGACACACAGACCACACTGTGCCCCTCTCACTCCAGCCCTGAGGATTTTGGTGTTATGAACTCAGATTCCCCAAGTTCCCTTTTCAGCCTCAGACCCCAAGGGGAACACTGAGGGGAAATCTGAGCAGCTTCTGGAGGGATCAGGAATTTTCTGACCAGGAAAAGCTGCCCTTGTCACTGTAGGGAGGTGCCTGGGTGGTTTTTTTGGGCATCATGTGCTCCGTGGGCAGAGGGAAGGCAGAGGTTCATCCAGCATATGCAAGGCAGGAATTGCCAAGCACAGGCAATCTCGTGTTTTGGGAATATCTGGGAAATGGGCTTTGAGGTCCCTTCCAACCCAAACCCCACCATGATTCTAAGAGATTCCCACCCAAACCGGCCCCATCCCCCACACAAGGAGGGACCTTTTGCTGTCAGGGCCAGAAAGGAGGGGGGATATTGCCACCTTCTGGCCACTGGTTTGGCTCTTAAGGGCCACCACCTGCCCTCGGATCCCTGCAGAACCTGCTCCCACCTCCCCTCGGGTCAGCAAGGTGCTTTTCCCCCCACTGACCTTGTGCTATTCAGGGAAACTCCTCCTCAGGGTGTGGGTGGTGTCTTGTTCTGGGCCCTGGAGCATCTCCAGGGGGTTGCCAGGACATTTCTGGTGCTGGATGGCAGCTGGGAGGGCACACGGGTCACCAGGGGGTTCAGAAGCTGTGAGCAGTGGTCAGGAAAAGCTGCAGGAATGCAGAGAGGAACCATGGGAGGAAGGGCTGGCATGAGGGACTTGCTTTGCAGGTGATGGGAGCCCCGATCAGGATCGGGACAGGAGGGGTCAGTCCCACCCCATCCCTTGCTTTGGGATGTAGAAGGGCACTGGAGGCAGTGCCACACAGGGAACTGTGACCCCAGTGCCCTGCCCGAGGCTGCCTCCTGTGAGAGGTACTTTTACCAATCCCTCTTCACAGGAAACTTTTGCAAGGACTGAGTAGCAGGAAAAAACTAAACCCTTCCTTTTAATGCCAAACCAACCCTTCTTCGAACGTCAATTCCTCTTCTTGGCTCAGTCCTTCAAACAAGCGTGGGGCGAGCGCTAAAAATACCCCTTCCTTCCCCTTGCCTGGCGGGCTCTGGGGGAAGCAGGGACGCAGGAGGGGATTCCCAGCCCAGGAAAGGCTTCCCTTCCCTTCCCCAGCCCCCAGCTGGGGCTCCATCAGCGGGTGCTGAGCAGGGACAGACACTGGGAAATGTCATCCTCCACCTGCCTGGTGTTGGCCACCCTGGGGACACAGCCAGGGTGGGACACAGCTGGGGGGGGACACAGCCAGGGGGGGGACACAGCCAGGGGGGGGACACAGCCAGGGGGAAGGATCACACCTGGTGCTGGGCCAGGGCTTGTCTGCACACAGAGCTGGCTGCTGGGACAGAGCTAATTAGCAGAGGAACATCAAACAGTCGTCCTGGGTGGCCAAAGGTTTGTGTCCCTCACCACTGGCACTGGGACAGGGGCCAAAGCAAACACCCCTGAATGGTTTGTGACCCGTGTGAGCACATGGAGACCCCTCCCCACTCACCGTCCCAGCTCCCAAGGGCTTGTGGCTCCCAGGCTCGGGAGGGGCAGCGTGGCACGAGACCTCCCAGGGGTTCCCCTGCCATCAGTGTCCCCTCAGGCCCCTGGTGACCTCAGTGCTCCCCACCCCACGCTCACGTATCGCCTGACCACGTGAGGAGCCACATCCCTGTGCCGGGGCTGAGCCAGCGCCGCGGCAGTGACGCGGTGGCACCGCCGTCATGTGGCACTGACGCCCTGGGAGAGGCAGGTCCTGCTCCCCAGCCAGCTCCTGCCCTGTCCCAGAGGCTGGGGATGAGATCCCTGTCCCCTCCTGAGGCTGGGGACAGGGAGGGTCACCCTGGGTGCTGGTGCCCAGCCTGCCATGGAGCTCTGCTGTCCTTCGGTGAAACCATCTCCTTCCTCTTCCCAAGGCACTGCTGGGGTCAGGAGCACAGGATGGGTGCTGAGAACGGGCTGGGGGTGGCAGGGCCTTGCTCCTGCCAGTTGATCCCCTCCAGAGTCACTTCCCAGCGTGAGCTGTCCCCACAGCCATCCCAGTGCCCCCGAACTGGGAGCAGGGACTGAGGGGCTGTGCCTGCAGGACGGAGAGCCACACCTGGGCAGTGTCCCAGGGCAGGCCCTGCAGGCACAGCTGGGCTGGGGGATCCAGCTGCACAACATGTGGCAACATCTGCACCCTCCCCAGGCCGGGGAAGTGACGCTGCAGGGGCAGCACGGGGCTGTGCAAGGCAGGGGGGCACGGGGGGACACGGTCCCCATCTGGAGGTCCCAGCCTGGCCAGAGCCCCCCCCAGAGAGAAGGAAAGTGTCATGAACAACACGCCTGACCTCACCCTGCAGGCTGGGAATGGCTGCCAGGGGAGCTGTGGGGAGTCAGAGCTGCTGTGCCAGGCAGGGAGAACGGGAAGCAGCGGCAGCACAGCCCTAGGCACGGGAGGGATACATGGGCTGCTGTCCTGGAGGTGCCACCAGCCTCCTGTCCATCCCAAATAAGCACCACATTCCCCAGGAGCACATCCAGGGTAGCCCAGAACAGGTAGGGAGCACGAGGACAGGGATTGATGAGATCAGTCATATTTGGGAACGGGCACTGCAGCAGTATCAGGGCAAACAACAGAAATGGAACCTCCAGCAGCGTTTCTGGAGGGGGACATACCTGTAGCTGGGTGAAACAACAGCCTACAGCACGTGATCTTCATTACATCATCAGCACTGGGGAGATTTAGGTTCATTTCTGCTCACGAGGAGCATTCTCCCCACTCTGCTGGGCTGGGGTGGCTTGAGGAGTGAGGTCTGCCATCAGCTCCCAGGATGTTCCTCAGCTCTGGAAGTAGGTGAAGCTCTGGTTCATCTCTGTGGAGAGAAAGAGAAAAAAGGGAAGAAAACAAAAGAGGAAAAAGGGATGAGAAAAGGTGCTATAATTGAGTTGCAGGGAAGGTAATTTCCTCCTGGGTTAGAGGAACAGCTCGTTGGAAATTTTTGATAAAAATCTATTATTCTGTGAAAATGCAGATCCAGAGAAATGTGAAGGCTTTCCACTGGAAAGAATGAGTTTTGCTGGATTTCTCAACGAGTTCTCTAGAAAATTTGTCAATGGTCACATTTCACCCACCGCTGCTTTTTTTGTCAGACCAAAATTTACACTCCTGCTGCCTCCCAGCCTGACTCAAACGCAACATTTTTGGCATCCTCCCTTCATTTGTTCAAATTTCAATATTCCACAGATCTTTCACCCTCCTTTTGGATGAAGAAAAAGCTGGAGATGCCAAGACACGCCTGGGATAGGGAAACCATTTCCCCTAAAGCCTGGGAAGCTCTGGGTGAGGGGCAGTGCAGACACAGGACACACCCCGGGTTCCTCTCGGCCTCGTGCTGGTTCCTGCTG